TGTGTGTGTGGAATAACTGACTATCTCAAGGAAGTGAGACATTTCTTTTGTATTTTTCTTTCCTTTCTCTTTCAGTCGCTCACGCAGACACACAGAACTAATACTGACACTTTCACTGAGGCGGTGTGTGTGTTTAAACTTGTCTGAAGTCTCAGGAAGGCAGTGCTGTTGTGACCTGCCGGCCTGAACTCGAGTGTGTGTGTGTGTGTGTGTGTGTGTGTGTGTGTGTGTGTGTGTGTGTGTGTGATGATACTCCAACATCTCTGTGCGAGAACTTTCCCACAATCCCCAAGGTCTCCTGTGTTACGCAAACAAGCGCCATGGTCATTTCACTCACACACACACACACACACGCACGCGCGCGCGCGTACACACACACACACACACACACACTCACAAACACACACTCAAACACACACTCACACACACACACACTCTAACACACGCACAAACACACACTCAAACACACACTCACACACACACACTCTAACACATTCACACTCACTCATACACACACACAATTGTTGAATTTTGACAATATTTTCGGTCAAGTTTTTAAATATTTGTTTTACAGCCTTTCAATGACACATATTTTGCATAAACAAATACATAAATATGAATGGAAGTGTATTGTGTCCGGACAGTGGGATTACAGAATCTCTGGTAATAGTTAAACAAAACCTAAACATCCATAAACATTGGAGAAAAGATCATCTGAGGGGAATGAGCACAGTTTCCATGAAAGCCCAGTTCATAGTGCCAAACAAATCAAACCTTTCAAAGAATAAATGAATATGGGACAGCAATTACACATTCAAGCTAGGAGCCAATAAAATGCCCGTTTAATCTCCCCTTCTGTTTGGAAAGCTAGCGCGCGTGTCCACGAGACATGTAGAGATTGCTTTAGTTCTCCCTGTGTTCAGTGACAGGACAGATGGCTCAGATGAAAAGACCAATAGATGAAAACGAGGAAGAAGAAATCAACAGAAAAACTGTCCAGCTGTCCTGTCCTGGCGAGTTATGAAACATCATCCTGGGAAATTACGATTTACGACACGACCGTTCCTCCGGCTCTGTTCAAATACAGTTGGAGAAGAACTAGTAGACACGGAAGTCAAACAAACAGAGCTCGAATGATCCTAGTGTTCGAGTCGCACTGAGAGAACGGTCCAACTCTTCAAACCGAGAGAAACAGAAGATGAAATGATTTCAAACACTGCAGGTTCCTTGTTTTCACTCAGAAACACAGCCTGACTAGCAGTTATGGATAAGAGCGGATGAAGCTAAATGTATGTCAGATATTATTGCATGTTTTTGAAAAGCAATCTTAATAAACACATTTTGTGCATATGCGGTGAACAGACTTTGGTTTGGAATATATTATGGACACACACTGTAATGTATTATTATCATTTACATGTATTATTACACTGTATATATTATTATCAAAAATATATCATTTATTGAAAATAATAATTGTTAATTATAATACAGCGGGATGTTCGGGGAGGAGTTATAGACCAGAATATCAGTATTTTAATAGATATATTTACACTTATACCGAACAGAAATAAAGCACAAACGTTTGCTTGACCAGCAGCAACACTGATGTATTAACCCTAGGGGTGTAACGGTTCACAAAATTCACGGTTCGGTACATTTTCGATACAGCAAAAAGAAAGAAATGCCAAAGAAATTTCCTATTTATTAAAAGAAAAAATATTTTTAAATAAGTTTGCGTTTTCCTACATCTTGAAACGTTCAGGTTTATAAATGGGGGTAATCTTTGAAGGATGAACAAATAATGTTTTGGTCATCGCATTAAAAATAACATTTAAATGTAGGCCTATATTTATATATATAAAATATTTAGATAATATTTGAGTTTTGAAGTGCTGGAAAAAGATGTGTGAAGTACTTGAAAGCATTTCACTATTCCAGCCAAACTTCCATGGTTACAGTGAGTGTTACTATATTAAATCCATGGTGAATGTTGCTGGTCTGTGGACGTAAAGTATAACTAGATCATTCACGGCACAATGTTTCTCCTGGTGTCCACGTCAGCGCTGTTTGATCTGATAGAGATCTACGGTTAATAACGGAGAAATGTGAATGCTTCTCACTAGATCTCGCAGCGATGTTATTACTTCAGTGGCGAACTCAAATGTTTTCTTCACTGGATCTCTCAGCACAGTGTCGCTTGATCGAGATCGGCTCGCGCTGCACAGATGCTGCTGGTCCGAACTGATAAACGATCCGTGAAGCACAATATAATGAGTAGCGCATTTTCGTTACGCTTGCCATTTGATGTTGCGCAACGTTGTGGTGGTCGCGCCAGCGCGGATTTCGTCGGCAGGAAAAATGGTCCAAGGAATCGTTCGGTTTGTATGCGTACCGAACCGGAAGCCTCGAACCGAAACTGTTCAATTCGAATACATGTACCGTTACACCCCTTGTAAGGGATGACCCCAGTGGTCTTAGAGGATAATTTTTAAGAAGCTGGGAAGAGGTTCAGTGGATCCCCAAAAGGTGGTTTATTATGATGAAAAATGAAAAAAAAAAAATGTACATGGTCACATACTGAAATACAAACAAACAAACAAAACTGCAACAATGTGCAAAAACGGCTACACCAAATAATTTGGTCCGATTTGCAACAGGGTCTTGCCTTTGGCCTTAAACAAACCACAACTGACTTAGTAAGCTCTATAGCTCCCTATTTATATGGGCTAACTCCACCCTCGGCCTGTACCAAATGAACAAGCAGGTACCAAACACACAATACATTATACACAAAAATAAAAATAATGAAACATCAAACATTCACAAATAACACTGTGTAAACCCATGGGTACTTAACAACACACAGACGAAAACATAACAAAAAAAAAGGAAATGAAAAGGAAAAATTGTTTAGCTGCTATTCCCCCTCCCCCAGACAAAACTACAAATGGATCAGTCCAATTAGGGCTATGCTAATGCTACAAAAACCTGTTTGAATCATACAGACTGTTTGATGGTGCAGCATGAGACTAGAAGGCCAACAGCCCAAACAAAGTTTTGGGGGGAATTCGTAAGAAATAAAAGGTAATTCTGACTGCAATTAACTGGGTTGTGAAGTTTTCTTCTAAAAAGGAATAATTGAATTGAACAACATGTTGGAGCAAGCAGACAATATACACTCACCGGCCACTTTATTAGGTACCCCATGCTAGTAACGGGTTGGACCCCCTTTTGCCTTCAGAACTGCCTCAATTCTTCGTGGCATAGATTCAACAAGGTGCTGGAAGCATTCCTCAGGGAGTTTGGTCCATATTGACATGATGGCATCACACAGTTGCCGCAGATTTGTCGGCTGCACATCCATGATGCGAATCTCCCGTTCCACCACATCCCAAAGATGCTCTATTGGGTTGAGATCTGGTGACTGTGGAGGCCATTTTAGTACAGTGAACTCATTGTCATGTTCAAGAAACCAATTTGAAATGATTAGAGCTTTGTGACATGGTGGAAGTAGCCATCAGAGGATGGGTACATGGTGGCCATAAAGGGATGGACATGGTCAGAAACAATGCTCAGGTAGGCCGTGGCATTTAAACGATGCCCAATTGGCACTAAGGGGCCTAAAGTGTGCCAGGAAAACATCCCCCACACCATTACACCACCACCACCAGCCTGCACAGTGGTAACAAGGCATGATGGTTCCATGTTCTCATTCTGTTTACGCCAAATTCTGACTCTACCATCTGAATGTCTCAACAGAAATCGAGACTCATCAGACCAGGCAACATTTCTCCAGTCTTCAACTGTTCAATTTTGGTGAGCTCTTGCAAATTGTAGCCTCTTTTTCCTATTTGTAGTGGAGATGAGTGGTACCCGGTGGAGTCTTCTGCTGTTGTAGCCCATCCCCCTCAAGGTTGTGCGTGTTGTGGCTTCACAAATGCTTTGCTGCATACCTCGGTTGTAACGAGTGGTTATTTCAGTCACTGTTGCCCTTCTATCAGCTCGAACCAGTCTGGCCATTCTCCTCTGACCTCTGGCATCAACAAGGCATTTCCGCCCACAGAACTGCCGCTCACTGGATGTTTTTTCTTTTTCGGACCATTCTCTGTAAACCCTAGAGATGGTTGTGCGTGAAAATCCCAGTAGATTAGCAGTTTCTGAAATACTCAGACCAGCCCTTCTGGCACCAACAATCATGCCACGTTCAAAGTCACTCAAATCACCTTTCTTCCCCATACTGATGCTCGGTTTGAAATGCAGGAGATTGTCTTGACCATGTCTACATGCCTAAATGCCGCCATGTGTTGCCGCCATGTGATTGGCTGCTTAGAAATTAAGTGTTAACGAGCAGTTGGACAGGTGTACCTAATAAAGTGGCCGGTGAGTGTATATACATATATCAGACTCATTTCAAATAGGGAAAACAATTACACAACACCATTCTGATTTAAAAGATGGTAAATGCCGGCATAATCAGGTAGTGATGTGTGCATGTGTGTCAAGTCCATGTAATTCCTTTTCGGTCATAAAGCTTAGCTTGTGACACCCCTAATTAACCCACAACTCTCTTTGCAGAAACACAATCCTGGCTCTCGTCTCCCCAACCATTCCCTCCTGCAGAATCTGTTTGTTTTCCTCCTTTTCGCTGCAAATCCGCCAATCAGACAATTTGGATCGCAAGCTTTTCGCAGGCTATCATTTTTAATAACAATTTCACGTGTGATCTTGCGTTATTTCTTATTCACTTCTCGCGTGTGTTTGGTTGTGAAATGTAGTTTGCGCACCAGACAGAAGTTGTGGCGATTCTTTCTTTGGTAAAGTCATGCGGTGTGAAACCTGTTCATCGATCAGTGTGAACACAGCAGAAACTGAGTGTCACACCGGATAGTCGTGCAGTGTGTGAACTCGGCATTACTGTTGTGCCCTTGAGCGTGAACACGAGAGCAGATGTGTGACTGATGTTGCACACTGGACTCCAGATACGGCTGCGTCTTCATTCACACAGAGATGATCTCCTTGAGCACTACTCGGGCATGCAGGGATAATGGCTGACACAGAAACATGTATTTCATCTGAACAGAAGCACGAGCAGCTGTTTCACACCAAATAAAGCAACACATCGCAATCTGCATGATATAATTGATTGTTGTTTTTCTGTTTACAGCATTAAAACAAAAAGAGGAAATTAGACAGCACATTTCCAAGCTAAGTGGAAGCCTTGTTTAACAGCAAGAGTGTGACTTGTGATGGATTACCGAGCGTAAATGAAGCGAGAGCCCATGAGTCTAGTGCACACACTTTAATCAGGCCCAGATGCATTATAATGCTTCGTTATATTCTCCCAGAAGCCACTTTACAGTTCACGATCAAGCCGCGCAATACATGAACGCATGAATACATGAACATAAAACGCATGAAAACACCATTCTCTTACCAGCCATCATCTTCTGGGCTTCGTACGGCTCCATGTACCCGTCGTTCTCCGCTGGCTTCTCGGAGACCGTCTGGGATCCGCCGGCCTGATCCGCTGCGTCAAACGGGTCGGCATAGTCCTCGAGGATGATGAGCTGAGGAAGATCAAAAACATGAAACTGCATTTAAATTAGGGCTGTCTATCACTTAAAATCTTTAAATCAGACTGATTACATTATTGGCTGATTGTTTTGAATGTTTTTTCTGCTCACCAAGGCTGCATTTATTTAATTAAAAATACAGTAAAATGTGTGAATTATTATTAATAGCTGTTCTCTATGTGAATGTATAGTAAAGTGTAATTTATTCCTGTGATCAAAGCTGAATTCTCAGCATCATTACTCCAGTCTTCAGTGTCACATGATCCTTCAGAAATCACTCTAATATGATGATCTGATGCTCAAGAAACATTTATGATTATTATCAGTGTTGAAGACAGTTACTGTAAACAGATACTGTAGCTCTCTCAGGTCTTTTCTTCAGACGTGCGAGTGAGTATCGGTTACCCTGCGAGAAGAGAATCAGAACATGAGAACAAAGTCTATTTCGCTCACTTTCATTAATTTATTTCTATCCCACTGTTCTCCTCTCTGCAGGGTAAAGACTCGAAGGATTCATGTAGATGGAGGCTGTGGAGAACGGCACAGAAGGAGCTCGAACACTCTTCTTAAGTCACACGCGATTATGATTTCACACACAAATACTCTCAAAGACTCGTCTTGTGTAGCCTGTTGGCAGAGAGCCACTCTAATTTAATAATTCTAATTTACAATTCCTTGCTTCTAGAAGTAAAACATATCCATGTAATCACAAATATAACACAGAAAAACAAAGATAAATTGTACAATTCTAATTTTAAATTCTAAGGGTTATGAATGAATATCTGAGATTCATTCAATGTTCTCGTCACAAATTTGATTCATGCTTGCTAGATGATATGTTGTATAAGTTAGAAACTGCCATAACATAGGGTCTGCTTTGCTTCTAGTCCTATTCGTCCTATTTGTAGGACAAACTTTTCCGTCTGTATTGGGAGTTTGTCTACCTCTCAAGCAACTTTAAACTATGGTGTCCCACAGGGCTCAGTTCTAGGTCCTTTTTATTTTCACTTCATGTGTGTCCTTTGGCCTCAGTTTTCTCGTAAACACAACTTTTCTTTTCATCATATTGATGCTAATAGTTGTCAAACTACTCCACCAGTTGAATGCAACATCATCTACCTTCCACAATGCCTTCACATTGGCCTATTATTGTGGTATAATCCATGTCATATTCATTCGCAGTATGTATGAGGCAGTCAGTGAAGGGATTGTGGGTGTGCCGTCTGACACTGAGAGAGACAAAGAGAATCAACAGAAAAGAAGTATAAACTGTTTCTCTCTGTTCACACAACATTGCACAAATACAGGCTTTGGCGCGCAGACATGTTTAATTGCAGGCCTGCTCTTATTGTAAAGGGCATTTCACACGCATGATAATTAGATGCACATGACCAACGCTCTGAGATTCATTCTTCAGCCCTAGACTGTTTGTCATACTGGAATTTAGTCTCCTGCCATCACAAAGCTGTAATCAATGAATCAATCAGTGCTACAAAACACACCATTTCAAGTGAGGATGTGACAAAACAATAAGCTTCTGTACTAGGAAGTGTTTTGCTGGAATACCATTCATCCAATGGAGCGTAAACTACCAACCGTACACAGATGCAATCCATTCAATCACACACTGCATTCTGCAATGTTAATGCCAACTCGTGTTCAGGAAACTGTGATATAATATCCTTTTACAAAGTTGTTCATTACTTATAAAAAAAATGAATGAGTTATTCAATTCAGTATAATGGCAACACTATCAAGTCGAGTCAAGTCTCATTTATTAATACAGCGCTTTTTACAATACAGTGTTTCAAAGCAGCTTTACAGAGATAACAGGAAAATATTTGTTTCATGAAGAAAATAGCGTCACAGTCCAGCTTAAGTTCAGTGATATTTCATTTTTGTTATAAAAAAGTTATTAATTTAGTTAATTGATATATTATATATATATAGCCGCTCTGGAGAAAACCGTGATGTCATCGTTCAGCTCAGTTCTCATATAATGGTGCCAATGCAGGCAGATCAATAATATTGTTGAATATTAAATTAAATGTCCCCAACTAAGCAAGCCAAAAGCAATAAAGATGAAAAAATGCAACAGAGGAGACATCTAAAAATGCTGGTGATTTTGCCCATGGCAAGAGGGAAGAGTTCAGTGATTGTGCGTCTGCTGCGCTGGTCCTTGGCAGAGGTTTGGACTTTGAGTTTGGACAAATCTCTATATTCCTTTGGAGCAAAACATCCACCGTATGAGACAGTTTGGAACAAAACAAATTCAGCAGAAGCCGGTTCACTCTGTACGCAATCTACACAAATAAATAAAACAAATGCCATTCATCTCGCATTTTTAACATTCTTTGTAGAAGGTCAGTGTGTGTTTTGGAAATGAATCTCTGTAATTGTTCTCTATGGCTTGTGGTTAAAAGAAAGACAAGCGCATTACCATAATTTGAGAACTACAAATAGACCTCAGCCACACACAGAAAGGAAACCACAATGTCCTAGTCACAACTTTTTGATTCATGTTTATTGGATACGTTAGAAACTACTATAGCAAAGGGTCTGCTTTGCTTAAGGCAACCAAATCCTGAAGGAGGACAGAACCTTTTCTGTAGGTTTTGAAAACGTGTCTTCCTCTCCAGCGACTTTAACTGTGGTATCCCACAGGGCTCCGTTCTGGGTCCTACAGTGTTATGCATGCGTGTTATGTTTGTTAGGGCTGGACGATATATCGTTTTAGCATCGATATCGTGATGTGCGCATCCGTGATAGTCGCGTCACGGGATGTGCGATGTCAAGTATAGGGATCGTAGTTGATCCGTATGGACCAGGGCGCACTGTTCAGAACGCATGTGATTCACGGATTAATTGCACAGTTTAACCGTCATATAGACTGAAAGTTTATTATTTGCATATGTGTTTTAGGATCTATTAGTTTAAACATCCAAGTGCAAGAAGACGAGAAAGAAAACTTAATTCAGCTCTCTTTAGAGGCTTTCACAACCTTTTCATAGTTCCCAGAGGCAATGGCAGAAGAACACACTTTTTGGCATGTTGGCACCACAGTAACTGGGGACGAATGTAGTTCTAGGAACACCTTTTGGTGGAACTAAATTAGCTCCTACTTCACAGTAGGGTATAACCCAGCACAAGGAACTATCAGTGAGGTAAGTATACGTTGATTGATCAAACACATGCACCCGCCATTTTTAAAAAGCCATGTAAACGCACACAGTTTACTCCACAATACAGAGCGCCCCTTTTCATGTCTATTTGTGCTTGTATGGACGCATACATGCACAATTATGTCAAAATGTCCGTCTCGGTGAGAATCCTGGTAAACACAGTCGCTTATGTCTTAAGTGAACGTAAACAACTATGATGCGTATCAGTATATTGGATCAGTGCATTCGGTCTTAAAGTGACGGCAGCCGAATAAACCTGTGTCATTAATGTTATTCAAATAACAAAATACAAAGAGAAAATCACTTGTGTAGCTTTAACAAAAAAGAATTATATTTAATGTATACAGTGAAGACTATGCAGTGTATTTTACATTTGGTTATTCAATTTCTATACCAGAATGCTGTTAGAAAAACACAATGCACTGTTTATTTCATTTGTATCTTTATTCTCTTGTATTTATCAATGCTTGTAATTTGTTTATTATTTTCTATGCAGATTAACTCCCCTACAAAATCACTCCAATCATTCTAGAATGATTAATTATTTACAAATAGAGCTATTCAAGTCATCTGGTGAAATTGTTTTCATATCACAATATATATCGCAGAAAAACTAAATATTGCAATGTCAGTTTTTTCCAATATCGTGCAGCCCTTTTTTTATTTTTAAAATCAACTCCATGCTAATGACTCAGATGTAAACTACTCAAACCAGGTAAACGTATACAGTATTATCCTCTACTCTACACTATTACAGCATGGAAGAGGTTAAATATTGGTTGGGGAGATGATGATAAGAGGGAATGCATTATATCTGGCCCTACTAAGTCAATCAATGAGATCTGCAATTGATCATCTTCCATTTTGATTAATGCATCTCGCCATGTAAAAATAGCATAATATACTTGCTCTTTCCTTGTCCTTCACAACTGTAACTCTCTCAGCACCATCTGCCCTGCCTGAAACTCTCCAGAATGCAGCTGCCACTCTTCTGACAGACAACAGCAATGAGGATAATATTACACAAGCCCTGGCTTTTCTCCATTGGCTTCCGTTCCAGTACGCAATTGAGTTCAAGGTGCTACAGTTTGTTTTTATGCCTTTACATGGCTTACCACCACAATATATTGCTGATTTGTACATGCCTCTGAGATTTCAAGTAAAATGTTCTCTGTCTGTTAGTCTAAACCAAGACCAAGACCAGATTATGTAAAGACCAAGACAAGAAGACCAAGGCAGGGCGAGACCTGAGAAGATCTCATACAAGGACTTTTTTTGCAATCATACCTTACATTTTTGTGTGCATTTGTATAGCATTTGTGACATAAATCCGTATTAAATTCTGACCCGGCAATACAGTAACAAAAAAATATATATTAGAAGTTGCATAAACTTAAGTTGCACATTGATTGCATTTGAAGCAGGAAGTCTTACATCCAACCACATTAATAATGTTAAATAAATCAGGCAATGCACTGGAAATTTAGTGATATTCCCGTAGTTGTGGTCCTCTTAGTCCGAGACCGAGACCTGTCTCGCGTACATCAATGCCACTGTCTGTACCTCAGACACTATTAAAATCCCCAATTCTGGAATAATCATCCACACATTATATTAGGGATGCACCAATATGAATAATTTGGCCGATACAGATAACCGATATAACTTTATATTTGAAAGCTGATGACCAATATATTGGCTGATAAATCTAAATCTTATATATATATATATAAATATAATTTTTGAGAGCCTGATTACAAAACAAAAGTGTTCCCCAAAAACAGCCATGACCCAAGCACACAATTATAATGA